AGCCCTGTGCCCCCCGATCCCCGGTACCCCAACCCCCTGCCCGCCGTGCCCACCGCAGGGTGTGCAGGGCAGCGGGAGGCAGCCAGCCCTGCCAGGCCTCGGCCATGGCGTCGTAGAGCCAGGCGGCTGACTGGTTCCCGCGCACGTAGGGCGGGGGGAAGGCGTTCACCGGGGTGGCCTCGTGGTTGCCCACGGCTGGGAAGACGCGCAGCCCCCCGAGGCGGGCGCGCAGCAGGGCCGTCACCGTACGCAGCGCCCGCAGCTGGTCCCCGCGGCTCTGCTGCCACACGTCGTGCGCGGGGATGTCCCCGGTCCAGTACGCGGCCGCGAACCCCGAGGTGCCGTTACCGGCGCCGCCGGTGCCGTCGCCGTCGTGGCTGCTGGCGTTGGGGAGCTGCGCCAGCAGCGCGTCGATGGTGTGCAGGGGCAGGTCGCACTTGCCGTAGGTGCCCCAGAACCCCGCGGCCCCCGGCCCGTCGTGGGGGGCCCCACGGCAGCACAGCGGGTCGGGGCAGGCGGCAGCGCTGCCCGGCGCGTACCGGCGGTCCCAGTGCAGGTCGGTGAGGAACAGGATGCGGGCGGTGGGCGCGCCGGGCGGCGGCGGCTTCGGGGGCCGCACCGGCGGCTTCGGGGCGGCAGGCAGGGACAGGTTCCAGGCACCCAGGATGTCCCAGTGGCCGCAGCGGGGGCCCAGCAGAAGCCCACAGGCCTCGGGCGGGCGCAGCACCGAGCGCGCCCAGGCCGCCACCACGTCGCGCTGGAACAGCTGCACGGCCTGCTGGCACACGGGTGGCCGCGCCAGCCGCAGCTCCTGGCACAGCCGCGACGCCACGCGCCCCACGCGCGCCACATTCGGCTCCAGCTGCGGGGGGACAATGGGATGGACACAGCTCCCCAAAACATGGGTGTCCCTGCTGCCCATGCCCAACAGCCCCCCAGGATAGGCCATGCACCCCAAACCCCAGCTGCCATCGCTGCTCCACGCCTGCCAGCCCTGCACCGGCATAGACGTGGCTCCCTGTTCCATGGCCATCGCTGCCCCATCCCCAGGATGGACCCCAAATCCCTCACTGTCCTTACTGCCCCATGCCCACCGGCCACAACCCCAGCACCCTGCCCCCCCATCTGTCCTCACTGCCCTGTGCCCACCAGCTCTCCGGGACGGACCCCACACCCTGATCCCTGGCTGCTGTCACTGTCCCACACCCACTGGCCACCCCACACCCTCAGCTGATTGTCCCGAGGTAAGAGGGGACCTACACGGCCCCCCATCCTCTCTGTCCCCTCTATCTGCCAGCCCGGTTCTCTCCTGGGGAAGGACACGGGTACCCCATGTCCCAACCCCAGCCTGTCCCTGTCCCTGCCTGCCCCCATTACCTCCCATCCCTGTCCCCGAACGATGCTGCCGGCCCGTCCTGGACTGTCTCAGTCCCTGTTCCCGTCCCTGTCCCAGCCCACCACTGTCTCAGCCAGTCGCTGCCCTGTCCGTCCCCGTTCCCCCAGGCAGAGCCCCTGGCCTGGCCCCACCCGGCCCTGTCCCCGTTCCCGTTCCTGTCCCAGCCTGTCACTCTCCCTGTCTCCGCCCGTCCCTGTCCCCGTTTCTGTCCCGGTCTCGTGCCCGTCACAAGCCTCGACCTGCCCCGGCCTGTCCCGGCCCAACCCCGTCACAAGGGACCGGCCTGGCCTGTCCCGTCCCTCTAACTGATCCTGTCCCTGTCCTGTCCCATTCCCTGTCCCCACTCCCGTCCCGTCCCCTCCGTCTTGCTCTGCCCGTCCCGGTGTCCTGATGTCCCGATGCCCGCCCATCCCCGTGCCCCGCCCGGTGTCCCTCGGGTGCCTCCCGTGACCCGGTGGCTCCAGGTCCCCCCGTGCCCACCTGCAGCGCCAGGTCCAGCGCCCCGAATAGCACCCGGCAGGCCGGGCACGACACGTTCCTCCAGCCCCAGCGCGGCGCCGCCGCCACCAGCTGCTCCCCGGGATCGGGGAGCGGCTCCGCCTGCGCCGGCCCCGGCAGCGCCAGCAGCGCCAGCGCGGCCAGGGCCAGCGGCAGCGACCGCGACAGGGACCGCGACATCGACCCCGTCGGGGCCCGGAGCCCGGCAGCCATGGCCGAGGCGCGGGGGGCGGGGCCGGAACGGGGCGGGGCCAGAACGGGGCGGGGCCAGCTCCGCTATTTACAGGCGGGAAGGTGGCACAGGGCGGTGAAAGGGGCGTGGCCTGTGCTAGAGGCGGGGTTGCCGAGAGCGAAGGGGGCGGGGCCGTGGCCAATAGCCAATGGCCGGAGGAGTTACGGGGAGGGGGCGTGGCTACCTGGGGAGACACACGAGGGGTGGGGCCTGCGCTGGAGCGCGGGGCATCACGGGAGATGGAGTCCTGGGGCACCTCGGCGGGCCGGGGCTGGAAAGGGGACACGGGGACTGTGGGGTCACCCCCCGGAGGACGCTGGGGTCACACCGCACCCGGGGCTCCCAGACCCTCGCGGCTGGTCGCGCCGTCGCCAGGTTCGGGGGTCCCCGCAGCGGAGGGTCCCAGCCCGCCGCCCTCCGAGCCCTGCGCGGTGCCAACCCGGGGCTGCCCCGCGGAGCCTCCGCGGTGGCCGGACTGGAGTGGTGGGAGCAGCGACGCTGAGGGGCACAGCTGTCGTGGGTGGGTGGGCACCAGTGGCACAGCTGTCGTAGGTGGGAATGGGACAAGTTTATTGTGACTGGAGCGGCGCGGGAGGACCCCGGGCTAGGGGCTTCTCAACTTCCCCCCCACCCAGCCTGCCCAGCCCCGAGGGTGCCCCTGCCCCGCCCTTAGCCCCCACCCAGACGGGGACTGAGGGCACTGGGGCTGCGTGGGGCTGGTGGGTGAGAGGGTCCCGGGAGGGCGGGGGGCTGGGAGTGCCCTGAGCTGGGAGGCACAGGGAGGTGAGGGGGCACAGGAGGTGCTGGCAGCGCCCGGGGGTTGCGAGGTGGGGGTCTGGCTCGAGGGAGTCCGGCTGGGGGAGGTCCAGCTCAGGGGGGCTGGGCTCAGGGAAGCCCCAGGCACTGGTGTGAGGGGGCTGGCAGGTCCCAGCTCACGGGAGCCCAGGCTGCTGATGGTGGTGTAGCTGAACTTGGAGAGTGAGGCTCTGGCCACGGGGGGCTCACGGAGGAGCGGGCTCATGGGGTAGGGGCTCAAGGGGGCCCCAGGCACCGGTGCTGGGGGGGCTCAAAGGGGTCCAGCTCAGGGTTCTGGCTCAGGGGGGGCCCAGGCTGCTGACGGTGGTGTAGCTGAACTTGGAGAGCGAGGCGCTGGCCATGGGGGGCTCGTCGTCGGGGGGGCGGCGGGGGCAGGCACGGCGGCACCCCCAGCCCGCACAGGTGGCCCCGAAGGCCTTGCGGAAGCGGCGGTTCATGAAGCAGTAGATGAGGGGGTTGGCGCAGGCCGAGGTGTAGGACAGCAGGTGGATGAAGGCGATGGGGGTCCCCGAGAGCGCCCTCTGGGCCGCCCGCGGGGCGAAGGCGCGCCAGGTGTTGGCGGCGAAGATGGGCAGCCAGCAGAGGAAGAACATGGCCACGATGACCACCAGCATGCGGATCACGCGCCGCTTGGCCGCCAGCTGGGCCCCTGAGCTGTTGACACGTGCCCGGTCCTGCTGCGCGTCCGCCCCCAGCGCCCGCAGCTCCAGCGCCGCGCCCGGGCGCGACAGCTGCAGGTAGCACCCGTCCCCCTCATCACAGCCGGGCACTGTGTCCCCCCCGGCACCACGCTGGGCTGTGGGGCGAGGGAGCGTGGTCAGGGCCATGGCACTGGGGGGACAGGCTGCACCCCAACACCGTGGGAGCATCCTCCGGGCGGTGGGATGGGGTGTTAGGGGAACAGGGCTATGGTCACACCACCATGGGGACCCGAGGCACCCCAACACCATGGCAGCATCCTTTCGGGGGTGGGACAAAGTGCAGGGGACACAGACACGTCCATGGCACCCTGGGGACACACTGCACCCCAAGGCTGTGGGAACATCCTACAAGGAGGTCCCTGGGAAAGGGGATGTCCCCGGGGAATCCCCCGCTGTGGAGAGCTGGGGTGGGGGCTCTACCCTCCCTCTCATTCTGGGGCAGGGTCACCCCCGGGGTCACTCTCATGCTGTCCCCTCACCTGTCGCCTCCCCCTTGACATGCAGCTCAAAGCGGATGCCACGGTAGAGCTCGCGGGAGATGAGCCCGTACGCCACCGTCATCACCACACCCGGGATGAAGAAGAGGACCAGGAGCAGCAGGACGTACCTGGGACATGTGGCCCCTGTCACTCAGTGTCCCCTCTCCTCCCGTGCCCCCGCGCCCCCTGGCACTCACCAGGCCTGCCGGATGCGCTCGCTGGGCCAGTGGTGCGTGCACTGCACGGGGGGCGGGCGGGGGGCGTGGGGGGCGGCGGGGCGCGTGGTGCTGTACACGGCGTAGGGCAGCATCAGCAGCGCTGCCAGTGCCCAGGTGCCAGCGATGACGCGGCAGGCGTGGGACCGCGTCTGCCAGGCACGCGACTGCAGCGGGTTGCAGATGGCACTGTAGCGCTCGAGGGCGATGGCCACCAGGCTGAAGGTGGACACGGCCACTGACACTCCTGGGGGGGGTAGGGGGGGTCAGTGGGTGCAGCATGATCCCACAGCCCCCTGTGACCCCCTGCAGCCCCCCGGTGCACCCCATGTGCCCATGAGGTAGGTGATGAGCCGCCCTACCCTGTGTCCCGCCGTACCCACGAGGCAGGACAGTCCCCCCCTCCCCGTACCCATGAGGCAGGACAATCCCCCCCCTCCCCGTACCCACGAGGCAGGACAATCCCCCCTCCCCGTACCCATGAGGTAGGCGACGAGCTTGCAGACGGTGTCGCCGAAGACGAAGGCGCCCATGAGGCCGGGCAGCAGGGTGAAGGGCATGCAGCACAGTGCCAGGAGCAGGTCGCTCAGCGCCAGGGACAGCAGGAAGCAGTTGGTGACGGTGCGCAGCCGCCGGTTCAGAGCCAGCACGGCCACAACCAGCGTGTTGCCCCCGACGCTCAGCACAAAGATCAGCGTGTACAGCACCACGCGCACCGCCACGTCCAGCTCTGCAGGCAGCCGCGTTGGGGACCCCAGGGCACCCCGAAGGCACCCTAAGGGTACCCCGATGGCACCCCAGAGGCACACCGAAGGCACCCCAGCACAGGTCCATGCACTGGGGCTCCGGCTGGCTCCACGGGGCTCAGTGCAGAGCCGACACCAGGCATCCCAGTGGCACCCCAAAGACACCCCCAGGGCACCCCGGAGGCACCCTGTCACAGGTACGGGCTCTGGAGCACCGGGGCTCCAGCGTGACCGGCTGCCTCGGTGGGGATCCGGCAGCTGAGCATCCCGGTTCTCCCCGTGTGGCTACCGCCGTGGGACCAGAGTGCTCCCCCTGACCCCCGGATCTGGTCCGTGAGGCTGGGGGGCCCCGAGCTTCGCGAGTGCCCCCATCCTGCCCACCCTCCCCCGGAGCTGGGCTCCCGGTTCGTTGGCAGCGCTGGGACATGACCGGGGACGTCCAGTCCCGGTAGCCGAGTGACAGCGGGGGTTGGTGGAGCCCGGCCGGGCGAGGGGGGACATTGAGAGCCCCAACCCTGGCGGTGGCGTGGGGGGGTTCCAGTCGGGGAATGGGACTGGGGGGTCCCAGCCCCGTTGGTGGGTTGGGATTGAGGGTCCCGGCTGGTCAGAGAGGAGGGGTTGGGGGTCCCTGCCTCGTCAGGGGGAAGGGGGTGTGGGGCGGGCGGTGGCTGTGCCACCCCTGTCGAGGTCCCCTCCGCCCTCCTGCTGCCCCGGTACAGCCCGGTGTGTCCTCTCCGGGACCCCCAGCGGGACCAGCGGGCAGTGCCGGGGCCGCCGAGCCTCCGGCCGGGGCGCAGGGACCGGCATGCGGGATGTGATGGGGGACACGGCGGGGGACGGGTGCGGCACCGGGCACGGACCGGGGGCACCGGGGTGCAGGGCTGGAAACACCGTGACGGCACGGCGGGACGATGCGGGGTGCCCGGGGGCGCAGGGTAGGGCACAGGGTGTCCCTTCTGCTTCCCCCTCCCACCCCCCCTTCATCTCACCTCTGGGCGCAGGGAGCCCACGGAGGCCCCTGCGGAGGAGGTCGCAGGCAGAGCTGTTGATCCCGGTGCCGTTCCCGGTGCCGTTCCCGGTGCCGTTCCCGGCGCGGCAGAGCAGCTCCTGCAGCGACTCGTTGAGGGACTGGGGATCCATGGCGGGGCCCCCCCGCCCCGCCCCCCCACCTCCGGCAGGAGGCACCGGGAGGGATCAGGCACCGGCAGGCTCCGGGAGGGACGAGGCTTCGCTCCGCTCCTCTCGGAGCCGCCGGTGGATGAGCGGGGGCGGCGCCCGGCGCGGGGCGGGCCGGGGCCGGGGGCGGGGGGCGGCGGCGGCGGCGGGGGGAGCCCGGGGGTGCGAGGGGAGCGCGGAGGAGTCGGGAACGGGGGAACCCGGGAGACGGCAGGAGGCACGGAGGGTCCGGGAAGCGGGGCTCGGGGGTTATCGGGCTGCAGGCGGAGCCCCGGGCGGGTCGGGGGGTTCGCAAAGGGCTCGCCGGGAGAGCTCCTGCGGCGCCGGGCGGCGCCGGCGGCCGTCAGCGCGGTGTCTGTCACTGTGGGGCTGTCACCGTGTCCCCGTGACTGACCCCGGCACGGCCCGGCGGGCGGGGGGTTCCGAGCTGTTTCCTGCTCCGGGACCAGCCCGGACCCCACCGCTCCCCCACTTCGACCCGTTCCCATGCCAGCCCCTTCCCCGTCCCAGTCCCGGTCCCCGTTCCGTAGCAGCAGCTGTTGGTGTCACCTGGCAATGGTTGTAGCTGCTACGTCCCCCCCCAGGTGATGTCTTAGTGCCGCGGGACTGATCCCCCAGCACCCCGACCCCTCCCGCGACCCCGAGCTCCGGTGGAACCTCGAGCCTCGGGCAGTTCCTGCACCCGTCTGGGACCCCGTGACCAAGAAGGACCCTGTGCCCTGGGGATACCCTTCATTCTCGGGGGACCCTGTCCTCCAGGGTGTCCGTGTGCTATGGAAGGACCCTGTGCTTTGGGAGGAACCTGGCCCCCGGGGGGAACCTGTGCCCTGTGGGAAGCCTGTGCCCCCCTGTGACCCTGCACCCCACTGGGACCCTGTGCCCTAGTGGAACCCTGTGTCCTGGGAGGACCCTGTGCCCTGAGGGGACCCTGCACCGTGGGGGTACCCTGTGCCCTTGGGGGACCTTGTGTGCCACTGCGACCCTCTGCTATTAGAGAACCTTCTACCATTAGGGGATTCTGTGCCCTGGGCAGACCTTGATCTCTGAGAGGACTCTGGGCCTTGGAGGGACCCTGCACCCTGGTGGGACCCCATCCTCCAGCAGGACCCTGTACCTTGGGGGCACCCTGCATCTTGGAGGGATCCCAGTCCCCAACAGGAGCACGGGCCCTGAGTTGACACTGCACCTCCGTTGGACCCTGTGCCCTGGGGGGACTCTGTCCCCCAGCAGGACCCCGCGTCCTGGCCAGCTGCTGTGGTGTGGCCATTCCTGCTGCCCCAGCCATCCCCGCTGGCTTGTCCCGCTTCTGCCTCAGGTGCAGCCGCCCCTCGAGGCGCTGGATGCGCAGGGCCATGCGCAGGGCGCTGGCCTCCAGCTGTGCCAGCAGCCGGGCCGCCTGTGTCTGCAGCCCCTCCAGGGCCACCTCCAGCCCCTGCAGCTGCCGCTGAGCCTCGGCCTCGGCTGCCACCGCCGCTGCCTCGGCGCCCGTGTCCAGCCGGCCCATGCCCAGCAGCAGCTCCCGGCCCTTGGCTTCCATGGCAGCGCGGGCACGGGGGAACTCGACCAGCACCTCGGCCAGGTCCTCCTTGCCCAGGCAGAACAGGTCGGAGTAGCCGATGCTCAGGATGTTGGCCGTGCGCCTGTTCCCCGCCGTGTTCCCTGTGGGGTGGGGGGCCGTGAGCCAGGGGGGCCGCAGGGCGGTGTTGGGGTGCGGCACGGGGCTCACCCTTGATGTTGATGAGGCTGATTTCCCCGAAGTAGAGCCCCTCGCCCAGCACGGCCAGCTGCGTGACGCCGTCCTCGGCCACCACGGCCAACCGGCCCTCGCGGACGAAGTACATCTCGCGGCCCACGTCCCCGCGCCGGCACACGAACTCGCCGGGGCCGAAGACCTGCGGACGCAGGCGCAGCACCAGCTGGCGCAGCACCTCGTGCCCCCAGCCGCGGAACAGCCCCACGCGCCGCAGGGCCGGCAGGTGCACGCTGGCCGCCACCTCGGCCCGCAGCCCCCGCGGCAGGTGCTGCAGCACGGCCTGCTCGGCCGGCAGCTTGCGCTGCATGCGCAGGTGCTGGTGCCAGCGCGCCACGCGCCCCACCAGCCGCCCGCCCGCGCCGTGAGCCCGCAGGTACCGCCGCACCGGCCCCGCGTCGGGGTAGAAGGCGGCGTCGGCCGCGCTGAGGTTGGCGATGACGGCGCTGATGCTGCCGGTGATGGTGGCGAAGCCCAGCACGGCCAGCAGGAAGCCGGCCATGGTGAAGAGGAACTCCTCCTCGTGCCGCGGCTCCGGCGTGTCGCCCACCATGGCCAGCACCAGCGTGGAGAAGTAGAAGCTGTGCAGGTATTGGCGCAGCGGGCGCGCTGAGGCGGGGCACACCCAGGGGTCGGTGCCCAGCCCCAGCCGCACCGACAGCGCGAAGTAGAGGCAGCCGTGCCAGTGGATGCCCAGCACGAGGTACATCATCAGCTTGGCCACGCGGAAGGCGTTGGGCCGCCCCGTGTGTGTCTCGCACCGGTCGAAGGCCTCGAAGAGCCGTGGTGCCCGCAGGCAGCGGTTGGCACGTGCCACCGGCACCCCCAGGACCCCTGGGACCCCCGGGAGCAGGCAGAGCAGCTCAGTGGGCAGCACAGCTGCCACATCCCAGACGAAGGCCCAGGAGTACAGGTAGCGCCTCCGCAGCCGGCTGATGTCCTGCACCAGTATGCCATCCTCCAGAAAACCTGGGGGGCAGCCAGGCAGGTCATGACACTGGGGGTGCCCAGGAGAGTTGAGGGGTAGGGGTTTTGCAGGAGGTCCCTGTGATGGAAGGGGATGGCGGTGGGGAGCAGGTGGATGCCTGCCGTGGGGTGTGGGAGGGTCCTGGAGACCAGTACCTCTGGATGGGCACCCTGAGGGATGTCACTGGGGGTCCCCCGGGCTGCTGTGGGTTTGAGGGGTCAGCAGTGGGTGCTGGGACCCCAGAGTGCCCAGCCAGATCCCCATCGTGCAGGGTTGGGTAACAGCTGTGCCTGGTGGGAGTGCACCTGTGTGTGCATGCGTGTGTCTGTGTGTGCAAATGTGTACACACCTCTACGTGTGTGTGTGTGTAACACACCTGTGTGTGTGTGTGAAACACACCTGTGTGTGTGTAACACATCCGTGTGTCTGTGTGTGCAAATGTGTACACACCTCTACGTGTGTGTGTGTGTAACACACCTGTGTGTGTGTGTGAAACACACCTGTGTGTGTGTGAAACACACCTGTGTGTGTGTAACACACCCGTGTGTCTGTGTGTGTTTACACACCTGTGTGGTAGTGTAGGTGTGTAACACACCCGTGTCTCTGTCTGGGTGTAACACATCCGTGTGTCTGTGTGTGTACACACCTGTGTGGTAGTGTAGGTGTGTAACACACCCGTGTGTCTGTGTGTGTACACACCTGTGTGGAGGCGCACAGCGATGTCCAGCAGGTACAGTGCATCACTGAGCCCGTCCAGGCCCTGCCACAGCCCCGCATGTGCCTCCTGCACCTCAGGGAAGCAGCACCTGGGGTGCGGGTGACATCACAGGGCGTCACCAGGACAAGGCCGAGGGGGCCAGGACGCCCCACACTCCCACCCTGACCCCCCTGCCCAGCACCTGAGGATGAGGACGACCCAGTTGTAGAGGATGGGCAGCACCATGAGGCTGATCCACCAGTAGTGCCAGTCCCCGGCAGGGTCAAGGGTCCACCTCTGAGGAGTGGCGGTGCTGCGGGTACACCCGATCGCCGCTCAGGACCCCTGGCCCTGCTGCCCTGTGCCCACCCCCAGCTGCCAGGGGCTCTCGGGCTCAGCCCCCTCCCAGCACCTGTGGGACAGAGGCGGTCCCTGCAGTGCCCCCACCCCAGCCCTGCAGTGGGCAGCCCTGCCCTGCTCACCCTGCGGCGTGTGCGGTGCTGGTGCCAGCCTCAGCCCTGGCCACGGGTCTGGAGGTGCCGCACGGCCGGAGCCAGGCCCAGTGGCAGGACAGGAGGGAGCTGAGGGGCTGCATCCTGCACGATGGGGGTCCTGTGCGTTCCGGTACCCGGTGGGTCCTGTGCATCCACCTGCTGGGTCCTGTGCTGGGTCCCGTGCCCCTCAGCACCCGGCAGGTGCCCAGCCCTGAGCGCGGTCCCTCGAGGAGTCCCGGCCACGTGGCTCCTGCGGCACCAGGCGCGTCCTGGCAACGTGGAGTCCCTGGGGCACCCACGGTCCCCCTGGGATGCCCGGGCTGTGGCAGCCACGGCTCCAGGTGCACTGGGCAGGCCAGGGCATGGAGCTGTGGCCAGGTGTGCTGGGGCCCAGGCCAGGCCCCAGTGGCAATGCCGGTGCCAGGCAGTGCCCTCTGCAGAGTTGGTGGCAGTTCCTGGTAACTGGTGCGTGTGCCAGAGCTGTGCCCGGTACGGGGTTACCTTGCACGGGGTGCCCAGTGCAAGGTTATCTGATAGATGGGTGCCCAGTTCTAAGGGTCCTGGTACAGGGGTGCCTGGTTCTGGAGTGCCCAGTTCCAAGGGGTCCCCACACCCAGCTATCCAGTTCCCAGTGCCTGGCTCAGGGGAGTGCCTGATTCTGGGGTGCCCAGTTCCAGGGATGCAGTGTGCTGGGGCTCCTGGTACACGGTACAGGGGTGCCCAGTTCCAGAGGGTTCCCAGTACAGAGTATGGGGTTCACAGCTCAGGGGGGTGCCGGGTTTCTGGGGATGCCTCATGACATGGGGTGTCTGTACTGGGCTACTTGGTTGCAGGGGTCCTGGTACAGGGGTACCCAGTTCCTGATGCCTGCCTCGGGGGGGGGCCCAGTTTCTGGGGATGCCTCACTCCAGAGGGTGCTGGGACAGGGTCACTCACTTCCAGGGGGGCCCGTACGTGGTCACTCGGTGCCGGGGGTGCCCATACAGGGTCACTTGGCTCCAGGGGTGCCCATGCGGGGTCACTTGGTGCCAGGAGTGCCCACACAGGGTCACTCGGTTTCAGGGGTGCCCATGCGGGGTCACTCGTTTCCGGGGGTGCCCATACAGGATCACTCGTTTCCGGGGGTGCCCATACAGGATCACTCAGTGCCGGGGGTGCCCATACGGGGTCACTCGGTTTCAGGGTTGCCCACACAGGGTCACTCGGTTTCAGGGTTGCCCACACAGGGTCACTCGGTTTCAGGGGTGCCCATACGGGGTCACTCGGTTTCAGGGGTGCCCATACGGGGTCACTTGGTTTCAGGGGTGCCCACACAGGGTCACTCGGTTTCAGGGTTGCCCACACAGGGTCACTCGGTTTCAGGGGTGCCCATACGGGGTCACTTGGTTTCAGGGGTGCTGGTACAGGATCACTCGTTTCCGGGGGTGCTCGTTCAGGGTCACTCGGTTCCAGGAGTGCCCGTATGGGCTCACTCGGTTTCAGGGGTGCCCACACAGGGTCACTCGGTGCCGGGGGTGCTGGTACAGGATCACTCGGTGCCAGGGGTGCTGGTACAGGGTCACTCGTTTCCGGGGGTGCCCACACAGGGTCACTCGGTTTCAGGGGTGCCCATGCGGGGTCACTCGTTTCCGGGGGTGCTGGTACAGGATCACTCGGTGCCGGGGTGCCCATATAGGATCACTCGTTTCCGGGGGTGACCATACAGGGTCACTCGTTTCCGGGGGTGCCCACACAGGGTCGCTCGGTGCCGGGGGTGCCCATATAGGGTCACTCGTTTCCGGGGGTGCCCACACAGGGTCGCTCGGTTTCAGGGGTGCCCATATAGGGTCGCTCGGTTTCGGGGGTGCCCGCTCAGGGATTCCCCTTCCTCAGTTCCCACGCTCCCCGGGCCCCGCCCCCATAGAAGCGCAGCCAATGAGCGCTCGGCTCTCCCGGCCCGTCCCCGCCCCCTACACCGGGCCGCGCCCCCAAGGTGTGGTGGGCGGGGCCGTGCCGGGTGGGCGGGGCCAGCGCGGTGCGTCGGGCGCGGCGCGAAGATGGCGCCGGGCGTGAGGGGCCCGCGGCGGGGGTGGGCGGTGAGCGGCGGGACGGACCGGGACGGACCGGGGGGATCGGCGCGGCCGGGACAGCGCCAGCGGGACACCCCGCATGGTGCACGGCGGCAGCGGCGGGCACCGCGGGCGGGGCGGGCCCCGTGGCCGGGCCGACCGAGCTTCCGCCGCGGTCCCGGCGCGCCCGGGCCGCCGCCCGCCCTTGGCCGTGCGGAACCGCCCGGGCCGGGCTGGGTCGGGCCAGGCCGTGTCCGGGGCGGGGGAGCCGTGGCGGGACCGGGCCTGGGTGTGTCGCGGTGCCGTGGGGCAGGGGCCCGGTGCCGGGGGGGCCCGGAGCGGCGCGGGGCCCCGGGGGGTCCCGGCTCCGCGTCCGACGCCTCCTCTGCCCTCTCCAGATGCGGCGCTGACGGGACGGGACCGCCGCGACCTTGACCCAGGTAGGCGGCCCGGCCCCGGGGCATGGGGAGGTCCCGGTCCCGCGTAACCCCGGGGTCTGGGGGACTACCGGTCCCGGTATCACCGCGGCCCTGGGACTGGGGGTGTCGGGGTGGGCAGCACCTCCCGCGGGCGGGGGGACAGCAGCCCCGGAGTGGGACAGCCCTGTCGCCGCGGGGAAGTCCTCACCTTCACCGGGACCACTGACGTCCCGCGGTGAACCCCCTGGTGACCCCCACACCGTGCTCCCCCTCCCGGGGTGCATCGGAGGGGCCGGTGCCCACCACCATACCCCCCAGCACTGGCTACAACCCCCTGCCCGTGGTGGCCGTGCCCCTGCTGTCCCTGCCCCAAGTGTCCCTGCTACTCCCCTGCTGCCAGACCCTTGCTGCAGCCCGGTCCATCGGCACTGGGGTGTCACCGGTGTGATGAGACAGCCCCATGCCATGTCCTGGCCGTGTCCCCTCCCTCACAGGAGGAGCTGCCAGGTCAAGGTGTGGGGGCATTGGTGGCAGGACGGGGGTGGTGGAAGCAGCCAGTGTCTCTGTCCCATGGCATGGCTTGCTGTGTGCCAGACGGGTCCCTGTGCTGGGATGTCCCTGCTGTGCCACGTTGTGGCCTGTGGCTCTGTGTCTGTGCTGGGGTTGTGCAGGGCTGTGGTTCTGCGCTGGCACTGCCCTGGCATTCGGCAGCTCTAACTTTAGCAGGCACACGAGCCCTGGCGTGTGGGTGGGACATGGGACAACGGCTGTGCTGGTATAAATAGCCAGCCCTGCCTGTGCTGTGTCCCACTGCCCTGGCTCCAGCCACTTCTCGTTTCTCCTCCTGTGGTTTGGGGTGTCTTTAATGGTGTTTTCACTTCCCTCAGCCCTATGTGGGGGCTGTGGCACTGGCTCTCGGTGCCACCACTCTCCCCACATGCTGCTGGGGGACTCCTGGTGTCTCAATGTCCCCAGGTGTCCTGGGGGCCACTCGGTTCCCAGTCCCGTGCCAGGACACAGGGCCTTATAAATATCCCCGGCAGCACCATCATGGCACACCAGCTGTGGGTGCTGCTGCCTGGGGGTGGGAGCTGTCCTGATGGGTGCTGGGTGCTCCTCACACCCACGCTGGGCCAGTTCCCGGTTCAAAGTCCAGTGCTGGGTGTGAGCAGGGCTGAATGCAGAGTTTTCTGGCCACTGCTGCTCCAGCACACTTGCCCTCCCTGCCCTGGCCCAGCTCCCAGCACTCCAGCTTGCCTGCCTTCCTTCCCTCCTGCCTTCCCTCCTCCCTCCCTCCCTCCCTGTTGCTGGGTGCAGAGCTGGGCTGGGGTGTCCCTGACCGCCCCTCTCCCCGCAGCCACTGGCAGCAGCATGGAGAGAGGACCCTGGTGCCCTGCTCACTCACCTGTACCCCCGCGGCGGTCCCAGGACGCAGCCGGAGCAGCTGGGGCCCCCCGGCGCTGCCCGTGACCGCCGTGCCCCGTGTGCCGATGGAGAGGATGAGCTGGCTGAGCAAGCTGACCCCGCGGGCGGGCGGGCAGCGAGCCCCCCGCAGCGCCAGCCTGCAGCCCCCCGTCACCGCCGACCCCGAAACCTGCCTCATGGTCTTCAAGAACCACTGGGCGCAGGTGAGCGGGGCGCAGGGGTGGCGGGGACCTGCCACCCCCCAGCCCCTGGCACCCGCCGCTGAGTGCCCCCTCACGCAGGTGCTGCGGATCCTGGAGCGGCACGGGAGCAAACCGGCCCCCGACGACCTCAGCGCTGTCCGCAACAACACCTACCAGATGCTGAACCTGCTGGCCGAGGACCGGCCCCGGGGGGATGGCGACAGGTCCCAGGGGGACGGGGACATGGCCTGCGGGCCCATCCTGGACTTCGTGGCTGCTGAAAACCTTCTGGAGCGGCTCCTGTGCTGGCACCTGCAGGGAGACTTCACCGAGGAGAGGAAGGTGTGTGATGGGGGGTGGAGGGGACAAGGGGGGGTCTGTGGGAGTGGGGGGCTTGCAGGGAGCCAGGACAGGCTGGATTGAAGGGGTGAGGGTGGTGTGGTGAGGATCAGCCAGGCCAAGGGCTGGATGCTGCACCTGGGGAGGTTCAGGTTGGATTTAGGTTGGAACTAGAGGGGCTTTAAGGTCACTTCCAGTCCACACCATCCTGTCATTCTGTAATATTGGGGAAAATTCCTTTTGGAAAAGGCTGTTCAGCCCTGTCACAGGTGGCCCAGGGCAGGGCTGGAGTCCCCACCCCGGGGGGATTTCACAGCTGTCTGGCTGTGGCACTCGGGTACAGGGCTCAGTGGTGGGCTGGGCAGCCCCGAGGGAGCAGCTGGACCCAGGAGTCTTGGTGCCTTTCTCCCCCTGATCATGCCTCTGTTCCCAGGTGGAGCAGCTGAAGCTGTACGAGATGTTGATCAGCCAGGCCCGGCAGCCGCTGCTGCGGCACAAGGCGGTGCTGACGCCGCTGCTGCGCCTGCTCAGCGTGTGCGCCGAGCCCGCCTCGGCCTCGCTCGAGAACAGCCTGGTGCTGCTGCTCAACCAGCTCTGCGTCTCCGTGGCCCGCGAGCCGGCCATCCTGGAGCTCTTCTTCCACAGCCACACAGACCAGGGCCCCGCCAACCTCATCATCTTCTCGCTCCTCATCCCCTTTATCCACCACGAGGGCGCGCGGGGCCAGCAGGCGCGCGACGCGCTGCTGCTCATCATGGCCATGTCGGCCAGCAACCGCGCTGTGGCACAGTCCATCACCGACAACTCCTACTTCTGCCCGGTACGGACCTGCCAGAGGGGCCTCCCCTCCCTGGGGCACGGCTGGGACACGGCTGGGTTGGGCCATTGGGGCAGGAGCTGTGGACAGGCCTGGAGGGAGGAGTCCTGCCCAGGATGGGGGGCTCGGCTATGGGAGGGGTCCACAGGTGATGGGGGGTCTGGAGATAATGCGGGCCTTGGAGGTGATGGAGAGTTTGGGAGTGATGGGAGGCTTTGGGATAGAGGGCTTGGGGGTGATGGGGGCCTGGAGATAGCATGGGGATGGGGGGCCTGGGAATGATGGGGAACTCGGAAGATGGCAAGGGACCTGGGGATGATGGAGGGTCTGCAAGTGATGGGCTTGGAGGTGACAGGGGGCCTGGGGATGGAGTGCTTGGGAATGATGGGTTGGAGATGATGGAAGGCTCAGTGCTGGGCTGGGGACAAGGAGTCCCTGGGGCCAGGGTGGGACACAGGGCCCAGTCCAGCTTCCCTGCCTGAAGCAGGGCTGGAGGGGGGCAGGTTCCTTTGGGATTAGGGTTCAGGGGAGGCTGATCGGGTCCAGTGGCCAGAGGTCCAAGGGGCCACGGGGCAGCTGAGTACCCAGGTGAGTACCCAGGTGTGTCCCCAGGTGCTGGCCACGGGCCTGAGCGCCCTGTACTCCTCCCTGCCCCGCAAGATCGAGGTGCGGGGGGACGACTGGCACTTCCTGCGCCGCGAGGACTGGATCGGCGTGTCCTCTCTCGTCCTCTTCATGAACTCGCTTGAGTTCTGCAATGCTGTCATCCAGGTGGGGCTGGGGGACTGTGGGGGGCTCCCAGGCCTGTAGGGGGACGCCTGACCCTTCCTGTGGCCCCGCAGGTCGCCCACCCACTGGTGCAGAAGCAGCTGGTAGATTACGTCCACAACGGGTTCCTCGTGCCTGTGATGGGGCCGGCGCTGCACAAGGTGAGGGACTCCCAGCAGCAGGCACAGGGTGGGGGTCTGCTGCCCCTATCCCTGCCTGTGTGAGTGGGCAGGGCCACAGAGTGCCCATCCTGTGCTGCGTGTCCCACAGACCTCAGTGGAGGAGATGATCGCCAGCACGGCGTACCTGGACCTGTTCCTGCGCAGTGTCAGCGAGACGGCGCTGCTGAAAACCTTCCTGCGCTTCGTGCTGCTGCACCGGCACGACAACGCCACCATCCTGGACACGCTGGTGGGCCGCATCAACAGCAACTCCCGGGTGAGCCCCGTGGCCCCCAGCACCCCCATCCCATCCCATTCTTAACATCCCCATCCCATCCCAGACACGCTGGTGGGTCACATCAACAGCAACTCCATAGGTGAGCCCCCTATGGCCCTCCAACATCCCCTTCCCATCCCCAACATACCCCAGCCTCTACATGGTGGTGGGCTGCACCTACAGCAACTCTTATGTGAGCCCTTGTGGCCCCCACGGCCCCCCATCATCCCTGTCCTTGTCCCATTTACATTCCATCCCCATTGCACATTTGTCCCATTTCCCTTCCATTCTCAATATCCCCGTCCCCAACATCCTCATCCCATTCCCATCCCCTGCCCTGCTGCCCCCCTGACGCCTGCGCTGTCCCCAGCTGTGCATGGTGTCCCTGAGCCTGTTCCGGACCCTGCTCAGCCTCAACTGCGAGGACGTGATGCTGCAGCTGGTGCTCAGGTAACGGGGGCTGGAGGGGCTGGGGAGGTCACCTGCTGCCACCCCATTCCAGGGGCTTCTCTGGGATGGGACCTGGGGCTTCATTCCCAGCTGCACACGTGGGTGTGGGACAGCCATGTTGTTGCCCAGCTGTGAAGGGGCTGGGGTCCCATGGGATGTCCCCGTCCCTGTGTCCACCCCTGCAGCCCCTCCGTGCCCCCCTGCTCCCAGGTACCTGCTGCCCTGCAGCCACGTGATGCTGAGCCAGAAGCGGGCGGTGCGGGACCTGGACATCTACGGCAAGACGGCGGCCAAGTTCCTGTCGCTCATCCCACGCTGCTGCCGTCCCGAGAGCCCCCCGCCACCCCCCGACCGGGACGAGGAGCCCCCTGCCCGTGCCAGGGGTATGGCACCATGGCCCCTCGCACACCCTCCCCATCCTGGCTTGGTGCTGAACCCCCTCCCAGGCTTTCTGTGGCCCCTCAGACCCTATCCTGTCCCAGGACTGAGGCCCCTGTGCCATCCCTGTGGCCCCTCAGACTTTGTTGCCATTCCATCCTGGCACTGAGCTCTCTTGCTGTCCCCATAGCCCCTGGGACCCCCTCTGTCCTAGTGCTGAGTGCCCCTATGCCATCCCCACAGCACCTGGGACCCCATCCGTATCTGGGCTCAGAGCTGAGCCCATCCCTGTGGCCCCTCAGACCCCCTCCCTGTCCCAGCATTAAACCCCCTCCCACCGTTCCTGTGGCCCCTCAGACCCAACCCCGAGCTTGGTGCTGACACCTGTGTCCTCCCCTCAGACCCCCTCGCCCCCCAGCTTGGTGCTGACCCCCCTTCCCCCCACAGCCCACGGCAGCCCCGGCGCAGACGCCCCTCCGGCACCGAAGCCCTCCACGCCGTCCCGCCTCTCCTTCTTCATGCGCCAGGCGAGCACAGCCCCTGCCGAGGCGGCCACGCCCCGCTCCCCCGGCCCCCCTGCGGGCAGCCCCCCGTGCGCCGGTGCCCGGGACGAGGTGGCAGAGCTGGACAGGAACTATCTGGAGTACCTGCGGGACGCGCGGCACAGCATCGACCGCTGCGCCTGGGCCTGCCGCGTCTGGTCGGCCCCCTACGACGGCGAGGACCCCCGCGCCCCCGGCCCCCCGCCCGACCCTGACAGCCCCCTGGCGCGGCCCCCGGGACCCCCCACCCCGCGGACTAAGAAGCGGGGGTTGCCCGAGGAGGGGGCGCGGGAGGTGCCAGGGGGGCCCTTTGGGGGGGATGAACCTGGTGTGGGGGGGTCCGGCTCCGAGCCCCGGGACGGGGGGACGCTGGTGAACGGGGCGCACGCAGCGGCCGAGCCGGGGCGGCCCGAGGGGGACGTGGTGGTGAAGAAGGTCCGTCGGAGCCCCCAGGGCGAGGGGGAGGGCGTTGAGGGGGCTCCGAATGGGGCCCCCCAGGCGCAGCCCCCCGGCTGGGAGCCGCTGCCATCGGTGGACTCGCTGCTGGAGGAGCTGCTGGCCCGCGCTCCCACCGAGCCCCCCGGCACCGGCGTCTCCATTGAGGCCTTCACCGAGGAGCTGCGTGAGATCGAGGCCGAGATGCGGAACGGGGGTGTGGGGGGACCCCCAGCCGCCCCCCTGGAGCCCCCCGAGCCGCCCCTGTCCCGCGAGGAGGAGGAGGCCTTTGCCAGCTTCGCCGCTCTGCCCGAGGGAGACGCGGGTGCCGGGCGGGCGCTGCCACGGCCCCCAGACCCCCTGGCGCAGGTGGTGGCCAGCCCGCCGCGGGTGGTGGGGCCGCCCCCCAGCCAGCCCTTCACAGGTGGGCTTGTGGGGGATGGGGTGGATGTCCCGGCTGCCAGCAGGGCCCTATCTGACCCCTACATGTCCCCAGGCCCCTTCGTGTCGGTGCTTTTCGGGAAGCTGGAGAACATGCCCCACAACTCGCTCTACGTCAACTTCCTGCTGACGGGGCTGGTGGCCCAGCTGGCCTGCTACCCCCAGCCCCTGCTCCGCTCCTTCCTGCTGAACACCAACATGGTCTTCCAGCCGAGCGTGAAATCCTTGCTCCAGGTATGGCTCCCGGGACCCTCTGCCCTCATTGAGTCATGGGAAAGGGTTGGAAAGGCCCCCAAGACGGTTGAGTTCCCCCAGCACTGCTCAGCCCAGCACTGCTCAGCCCACCACTGCCCCATGCCCCCAGGTGCCATGGGAACATGGCTGTTATTCCCCCACAGGGAAAGGGATCCCCCATGCCCATGGACCCCTTCTTCCTTTATGGCACCTCCATCCTGTGGTCCTGCAGGTGCTGGGCTCGGTGAAGAACAAGATTGAGAGCTTTGCCGCCAGCCAGGAGGATTTCCCAGGTCTGCTCTTCAAGGCCAAGAAGTACCTGATCGCCCGGGGACGGCTGGACTGGGCTGAGGGCCCTGGGGCCACCCCTGCCCTGCGGCGTCCTGACACCCTGGGTGAGGGCACAGCCTCGGTGGGGGCTGGGGGCTGAGTGAGGGGCTGGGGGTCCGGGGGAACTGGGGGCTGTGTGAGGGGCTGGGTGTGCTCAGGGGGCTGGGGGCTGTGAAACCAGTGGGGGCTGTGCAGGGAGTTGGAGGCTGTGGGGTGGGCTGGGGGGCAGGGCTGGGTCCTGGGGGCTGCACGCTGTGCTGTACAGGAGGCTGGGGGCTGCATTAAGGGCTGAGGTCTGCCCTGTGCATTGCCCTGGGGCTGTGGGCTGGTGAGGAGGGGCCGGGGGATGCATGGATTGTAGGCAAGGGCTGGGGACTGTCCCCTGCATTGCCCAGAGGCTGAGGGCTGCACGTGGTATGACGGGCTGTGGGGAGGGCTGGGGGCTACAGGGTGTGTTAACAGGGGGTCTGGGGTCTCTCCGTGGGGAGTGTGAGTCTGAGGGACGTGTGGGGTCTCTGCAGTGGCTGGGGGGAGTCTGGGGGCAGATGAGGGCATGGATGCCACCCCCTGTGTGCCCCCAGCCCGCAGCCGGAAGCCGTCCCTGGGGGAGCTGCTGCTGCGCCACGCCAACAGCCCCACGCGCGCTCGGCACGCAGCACAGCTGGCGCTGCAGGGGCTGCGGGACGGGGGGCTGCACCCCCTGCCCCCCCTGGCGCCCCCGGCGCGGCACGGCGAGGCCCTGCGTGTGCGCAATGCCGTGTACTGCGCCGTCATCTTCAGCGAGTTCCTCAAGGAGCTGGCGGCCATCGCCCAGGCCCACGCCGTCACCTCCCCCTTCCTCACCGAGCCCCCCGAGGAGTGACCCCTGGGCCCCTTTTTAACCCCGGACTCGGACCTTTTTAATTTATTGGGGCGGAGCTGGGCTGAGGCCGGGCTGCACTTTGGACACGAGTGGCCGCCCCCAGCCCTGTGCCCCGGGGGGCAGGGCAGGACCCTGGGGGTCCCCGGGGCTTGCGGGGTGGGGGAGTGCGGGGCGGGCTGGCTCTGCCCCCCTCGGCCCCCGGGGGTCCCCAGCGCCCACCCAGCTGCTCTCTATGCAACCCCCAGGGTGTGGGGCTGGGGGGGCGCGGGGAGGCCGTGCATGGGGAGGGTGTGTGTGTGTCTGTGCTGTGTAAAACCCTTCAGAATAAAGGGTCTGGTCGAGGGCATCGTGCCTTGTCCGTGGTGCTGTCGGGGCAC